TGGGATAAGTATCACCCGGAGAATGTGCACGCACGCCGATCACCGCGGCCTGATGAAATTCCCCTGACAGGCCGAGGGGAAGCAGCAAAAGCATGGGCAATTATTTCTGCTACGTCGGGGAGGAAGGCGGAGAGCCCCCGCAGATCCGGGACGGGTAAACGAGGGGAGGGAACGGCAGGCGAGAAAGTGCAGCTTGGCAAGCTGCTGAATCCCAGAGACAGGCAGAGGGGCCGCAGGAGCTGCGCAGACCCACCGCGCCAGGCAGCTCCTTTCTGTTTGCTAATTTTATGCTCAGCAAACAGTTGGAAAGGCAAGCAGGGTGGGCTGGGTGCTGGAGGGCACGGGGGACCCGCCGCGTGGGAAAACTCGGGGTCAGTAATTCCAAGAGCAGCATGAGGGAGGAGCAGGCTGCCAAGGCAGGATGCAGAATTATCATCGCGGAAGAGATTCAGGACCACGGATTAGGCTCCCCAGGGGTCTGGCTGGCTCAGCGGATTGGGAAATGGCTCAAGTCCCTTTCCCTTTCTAGGTCACGGGGACCCGCCAGGGCTCATAAAGCAAGTTCTGGGTGTGTTTGTGGGGGTGGACGGAGCGGGGGGCCTCATCCTGTCCCTTACGGCGCTGTGACACCACAGCATGGAGCTGTCGCCCACGGCACAGCGGGGCTTGCTCTGGGCCTGGGGAGCAGCTCACACCGATTCAACCCCAGAGTTTATTTTGCCCGTAACCCACCCCCAACCCCTCACCACCAGACCAGCTGCTCTCTCCTGTGGCTTGTTCGCTTCAGACCCTCCATGACCTTCGGGGCGGCACACGAGCTGAGCCAAAGATTTTGGGGTTTGTCTTTGAGAGGCCCAAACCACCCCGGGGCATGCCCATGCTTCCTGCTGCCGTGACCATCACTAGCTCTGCTGGCGCCGGCAGCCCGAGGGAGCCCCACGCAGGACAAGGGAGGCAGCTGGCTGGCTGTCCTACAGCTCCATCGCAGAGCGGCTATGGGAAACACCCTGCCTGGCTCGCAGCTCGGGGCCTCCACAGCCAGCCCGGAAAACATGTCCTTTCCCTCTCTAGGTCTTTGCCTTTTTCCAACTGTAGAACCCAAATCCCGGCCTGAGCACGAGGCGCTCGGATGCAGACCCGAGGCAGGCGCCCACACCCAGCTCTAAAGCCCCTCAATAAAAGCAGCTCCTTTTTCTGAGGTGCTTAAAAGCCGGCCGATGCTATGCCCCTCCGGAGGCCACCAACTCCCAGGACGGCCTAGCACACACCACGCTGGCCTCTGTCTCCTGCTCTGCTGCTGTGACTCAATTTCCCCGTCTGTCACATGGCAGTAATGGCACTCAGCTCCTTCGTAAAACCTTCCGAGACCTGCGGGCGAACAGCCCTAGGCAAGAGCAACGTATCTTTATTACACAGATTCTTCCATACAGATGCAGGTCTCCAACCTTAGGCCCCTGCGTGGCAGTACGTGCACCTGGATGCCACGATGCAGCTGACGTACCACGGGCCGGAGCGCTAGACAGCGAGCAAAGCCGCGGGGAGCCCTGGGAACCAGCCCCCCGCGCCACTTCCCTCGGGCTCCCGCTCGTACCCCCATTCCACGACGTGCGACTCGTAGTCCCAGTACTCGCGGGGTCTCTGAGTGTTCACGTCCGCATAGACCCTGGCTCGGCTCGGCACGGGCCCCGACATGCTTCCACGGCCGGAGGGTTGGTGCCTCAGTCACCCTAAAACATAAATACAGAGAAGCTGGCGTCAGACTGCAGCACTGGGGCGAGAAGCCAGGCAGGGGTGGAGGGCAAAGAGCCAGTGCAAGTGGGCAGGGGGCTGCAGACAGACGGCTCTGGGGGGAACGGGCAGCAGGGTCCGGGGGGAGGCCAGACACACTCTTGCCTGTCAGTGACCCCCTTTGCCCAGAGCCTCCCGGGCCTCTGCCCGTGGCTGCGGGTCAGCGGCACTGCAGTGAGCGTGCAGGGGAATGAAGGACAGCTGCTGGCCCCAGGCCAGGCCTCTGCTTGAAGGCAGCTCAGCAGCACATCTGACGGCCCTCTCCGGCCTATGAGAGTGTGCAGCCCGCCCCTGCCCGCTCCAGGTTGCACGCACTGGGCACCCATGGGACCAATTAGCTCGAGAACAGGGCCCTCCCTCTGCCAGTCTCCAGTTTCAAGCGCTCCATAGCAATTAGGAGCCAGCATTGCCAAGGCCTCCCGGAGCCGGTTGCTGCTGCCTGGAAGCTGCTGGCCCGCAAGGGATGGGGCTGAGAACTGCCAATGCTGGGAAGGATTGGCACCGTCCCAGCCTGGCGAGCTGCTGTCCAGCAAACTGGCCATGGCTGCACTGGAGAGGTCACAGCCATCGCCTCCCTGCGAGCCGAGAGCCTGCAGACGCATCCCGGCAGCCCAGAGCTACCACGCTCTTATCCCCTAGGCACCAGGGCTCTGCCGCCAAGGACCCCAGCTCCATCCTCCGGTGCCAGGCAGGAGTGACGCTCTCCTCCAGACAGACAACGCCCGCGCAGGTCGCACCCCTTCCTTAGGGCAGGTGACTCCTTCCAGCCACGACCCACCTCCCTCCAGGCTCCCCGTGCAGAACTTGCAGCCTTCAGCAAGCACGTGGGGGCAGTGAAGGCAGCACTGGCGCGTGGCAAGGCGGCAAGGGGTGCTGGCCTAACTGGCTCCCGGAGGGGTGCAGGTGAAGAACCGCTGTCTGGGAAGACAAGGCCGCGCTCCCACAGTGCTAACAGCAAGGCCCAGAAGCAGCGGGATGGGATCCCCCCCCAGCCTCGTGATGCACCTAATGCTACAGGCAACTCGTGAGCGCTCGTAAACAGCAGGAAATGGAAAAGCTGGCCGCCACCGTGGCACAAGGATGATGCGCCACGGGAACTACAGCTCCCAGCAGGCAGGCAGCACAGCGCGCTCTCCCCAAGCCCAGTGCAGGCTGCTGCAGCAGAGAGGAGTGCAGGGCGAGACCGTCACCGTGCTACGAGCGGCTTTGGATCATTCACCGCCCAGGGAGTCATTTCCAAGTACCCTAGATCCATCACCTAACCCCTTAGCAAAACTATCGTCAACCTGAAAAGCCCAGACGTTACACATGACCCACCACAGGGAAAGCAGGGGGCACACGGCAGCCAACACCCAGCTGCTGCCAAGGGTGTTAATATGCGCTTGAGAGACCCCAGGCAGAGGCCGTGCCCTCCGCACTGCAGCGGGAGGCAACCCACCCATCCAGACCAATCTGACCAAGGGGGAAAATCCCTCCCTGCCCCAGTGCAGCGTGGGGCTGAGCCCGAGTGCAGGGGCAAGACCCTCCAGGCAGGACCCTGCGGGGTCGGTGCCAGCAGGAGCACTGGCACAGCCCAGCCCAGGCAGCAGCCTCTGCATCGAATGCAGACAGGCAGGCGCACAACCCTGGGCACTTCTCCAGCACGCCCCGCTGCAGGGGCAGAGGGGGACACAAAGAGGGTCGCCAGTGACAACTCACAGCACGCAGGGAGCGGGCTGGATTCTCCAACGCGCTGCACGGACATCACTCAGCCCCCAGCCCCCTGCGGGGCAGGCGCCCCCCACTCTGCACGGGGGGGACCGAGGTCCACACGCTCCAAGCCAGTTGTTCACAGCCGTGGAGAGACAGAGGAGGGATCCTGAACCTGTGGGAAGTCAAGCGCCCCTAGAAGCAACGTAAGCTGCCCCCACAGGAGCGGATCCACTGCAGGAAAATCAGGGACAAGCGTTTCAGGCTTTCAAACACTGCAGGAAGCTGTTTCCTTGCAAAGCCTCCCTGGCTCCAGCCCTCTCTGACCTGGCTGCACCTTTTGCTGCTCCAGGGTCTTTCCTCCCAGGGTCTCTGCTCCCCAGAAAGGGGAGTAGCCAGACCCCATCCTTCTCTGCTGGACACCCCAGGGCCTGGGAAGCCCACGTGCACCACCTTTCTCTGTGCCCTTGGCATCACCAGGGATGCCTGCTGCTCACCGCTCTAGCCCTGTGGAGAGACAGGCCCTGGCCAGCCTCAAGCCGGCGACACCGTCCCCACCAGCAGCAAACATGGCTGGTAGTGCGAGGCACGCGTACCTCTCGAGACGGGCGGTGTGTGCACGCCAACACGTGATCTTCTGGCTGCAGAATCACAGAGAAGCGGGGCTGGAAAGGACCACCACCTCCCGTCCAAGCCCTGCCCGAGGCAGGATCAGCCCTGTCCAAACCACCCCAGACAAACTCCTCATCTAAACTCTTCATAAAACTACCGTCAACCCTGACACAGCAGCTACGTGTTCAGCTGCTGTGCCCAGGCACCATGCTGCAGGCACAGGTCACTCTGTGCCCCATCCATCTTGCTGAGTTTCACAGAGGCCACCCGGCAGCACGGCCTGTCTCGGCCGTGCCCCTCGGGTCCCCGCGTCCTGCCACGTGCATCCGAACTGCTGGGGCTGTCTGAGTTTCTCTGCCCGTCGCCCTCCCAGCGTGCAGGGAACTCCAGAGCAGATTTCTGTGCCGCAGCCAATGGCTCCATGTAGCAACCTGCCCCCGGGGGTGCCAGGGCGAGGAAAAGAGCCAGAAACATTTCCCCTCACCAGAGCAAGAACTGCAGAGGTGCCAGGCCTGGCAGCGCCGACTGACACGTGTGCAGCCAAGTCCTGCGCGTGCAGTGAAAGAAGGGCCCCGCCTCACTGTAGCGGTGCCAGGGGAGGCTGGCGTGTGCCCCGTCCCCCCATACAGAGCATGCCTGCACCCATCCACTACTGCAGGCCCGCGGGAAGCCGCGTGGTGGTGGAAGTGGCAGGGTCTCTCTCGCAGGCAGCACGGACACGCTCCTGGGGCAGAAACGCACGAGCATGGCCCCGCTCCCCCACTGCCCGTGCGATAGCGCCGTGCCCCAAGCCGCCCACACAGGAGAGGCAGGCATCTCAGGAGGCGGCACAGCACAGGAGCTGGGCCTTGCAGCAACAGGGGTGCTTTGCAAAGCCGGCTTGAGCGACCCTCCCAGCCTTGGGGGCCGGGAGCAGGTCCCGAGATGGGGAAAGAGAGTCTGGGGGTGTCGCCCCGAAAACTGTGGGGAGGTTGAAACCACAGAAACTGAGCCCAGGACCAAGGCCCCTTGTTATCTTTCTTGTCTTCTGGGCTCCTGGCTCTCAAGGGGGGAGATGACAACCGCGGAGGAGCACCTTGCTGTCTTGAGGGCCCAAAAGTGGAGGAGATGTTGGGTGAGCTAGTCCACCGCTCCGCCCAGCAAGCCAGGGCTGCAGGAGGGAACGGAGTGGCATCAGGGATGGGCATGGAGCTGGCAGACAGCCACCAAGACACCCTGGTGCCCAGGACCAGGACCGCCCAGTTATGAACGTGAAGGCATGGGTATTGCCAGGGAGACACCAGCTGTGCCAGGGGGGAACACTAGCCTGAGAGCAGCCAGTGCTGCGCCGTCCCAGTCTGGACAGCTGAGCCGGGGCCAGGCCCAGCGCACTGCCTCCTCCGGCACCCGCGGCTCCCCGTGCCCGCAGCCAGCGTCACCCGGCCCCGGCACAGCTTCACTCGTCGCCCCCGTGCTAGGACCGGTGGTACGTGAGCCATGGGGACCCTGCACCCAACTCTGCCGCAGCAGAAGGGCACTTCACGAAAGCTTTGCTCCTTCCAACTCCCCGCCAGCCCGATGTCCTGCCACCCCAGCCCAGGATCTGCCCGGTGTCATCAGGGCCCCTTGGCCCGACGCTGCACAAAGACCTCAGCCCAGCGAGCCTGCCCTCCACAACCCTGCAGGCAGGGCTGGCCCCTACCCCGCTGTCAGAGGTCTCCCAGCTCCACGCAGTTTCATGGAAGGGGCCTTCCTTATTCCACAGTTCTCCAGCCCGCTCTGCGTCTGGGGCACAACCCTCTCCCACCAGGCCAAGCTCGTTTCCTGCATGTGGAGCCAGGGGGCCATGGGCAGGAGATGGCCCCAGAGCCAGCCGTCCTCCTTCGCTACCTGGACATCCTTGGCCTCGGCCAAGCTGCTGCCCCCCCGGCGAGAGTGGGTCCTGCCGGTCTGCTGGAGGATGCGTGAGAGCGTCCGTCTCAGCCCTTGCAGGCAGGGCCTGGCGCGACAGGACTCGCAGCCGCTCCTGGACGTGGCCGAGGGGCAGCACGGACTTTGCGCTGAGGGTGGGAGCCAGGCGAGTTAACGGGGCCGAGGGCCGCGTCCGTGACCCAGCCCACACCTTTGAAAGCGGCACCTTCCTCCCAGAGGGGATTTATCTGGCGGGTCTGGGCATTTTGGGAGGTGGAAGCTGAACTTGGAGACTTGCAGGGCTCCTCTTCCCCCAGGCACCCCACACTGTAGTGCCGAGACCCTGGTCTCCCAGCCCTCCCCGCCTGGCAGCTTGTGGCAAGCCCCACCTCGAGCACACGCTCCAACACGCCTGGCCTGCTGTTCTGCATGCAGTTGCTACCATGTGATTTGCCTGGGCTGCAGGCCTCACGCTTGGCCTTTCGCGGCTTACCTGTTCACGTGGCCACGGCCTTGGAGTCAGAGCTCCCGGCTCGCCATGACACACTCGGACCACGAGATCATGCCACCTCTCATCTTTGCAAAGCACTTTACAGCTAATTAAAGAGATTCAAAAGCTCACAAATCCTATTAGAGTCCATCTGTGAGGACTCGGGGAAGAGACGGGGGCCTTGCTCTGAACAATGCAGAGAAAAGCTCCGAGTGGTGTGCAGCAGAGGGCAAAAAGGACCACAAAGCATGGGGCTGGGAGCCCAGAAGACCCCACTGCTCTGTAAATCAGTGGGGTGCCCTTGTCCAAATTTTTGCACCCAATTCCTTGAGTTCTCTCTCAGAAAGGCTGCAACACAACCAGAGCAGACTGAGACGGGAAAGAAAATCAAATGAAGGCCTGGGGAGAGCAGGGACTGGCTGCATGGGCTTCAGAGAGGGAACGATCGCCCTATACAGAGCAAGGACTGGGCTACACAAGGCCAACTGCGCAGCCCTCTTTACCCTCCTAACACATGAATGGTGATGCTCAATGACACTGAAAGGCAGTGCAAAGGGAAAGGGAAAGGCCACCGTCCACCTAAAGAGCTCCTTGCCATGCCATGTGATCGAGGCCAAGAACGTGGCAGGATGAAGGCAGGGACCTGTGGCCAGTTTCGATGGCTGCATGGCCAGGCGGGCTTCCAAAATATTTTTCTACCCTAGTGCACCCTCATGCGAGACTGCTGATATTCATGGGGCTCACAGGAAAACCCACAGCTCTATCAGGAGTCGCAACCAGCAGGGATACGACCCCTTCTTCTACCTGTCTGGGCTCAGAAGGAAACTCCTCCAGGAGGGCTACTCCATAATCGTCCAGCTTCCTCTGAAGCACTGGGGCCGGCGGCTGGCAGTCAGGACACCGGGCTGGGCGTTTTGTTGGCCTGATCCGATTTAACACCCCCACCTCTGCCACAGCAGCCTTACTCCCTCCTGCGGGTTCTCCAGCGCTTTGGATTTCACAAGCAAATCTAGAGAAATAAGTAAGAAACCTCATCGTCGTTTCCCAGGGTTTCAGGTTTGGCTTTTTTTTTAAACCTAAGGAGCTTGGTAATAAAAACACCTTCTCCCCCCTGCATTAACGGCGGCATTTTTGCCCTTGCTTCTAAAGGCCTTAATGGACGCGGCCTCCTGAAAGCATGTCAGTGCCACGTGCCACGTGCACTGTGCCCAAAGGCCTCCCAAGTTAAAGGCTGATCCTTGGGCAGCGGCTCAGAGCTCCTGGAGCTGCCTGTGGGCAGCCTTGCCCTCCCTTCCTACCTGCAGGGCCAGCCTGCCGCGGGTTTGATTAGTAGCTTAACAGACACGAGCGGGCTGCAGTGTTTGGTCTCCGCACCCGACATGCCCCTGCTAGGAAGGGGGAACGGGGTGCTGGGCCCAAGGGAGTCGATGGCTCCACAGAGAGCTGGCGAGACCCCATCCAACGGGGCTGGGGAGAGGCACCGGTGCCTTCACCTCCCCTTAGGACGGGCCCTTCACTCCTGGGGCCACGACTGCACCAACCCTCCCCCTGCCCCACGGATGGCCCAAAGGCGCACAGGACCGGCAGGGATCCCTGCCCGCCCCCGTGGCCTGTCTCCAGTTACTGGGGGCCCTGCACTGGACAGTCGCTTTCCCAAACCCTGCAAGCTCCATCCTAAAAGCACTTGAGACCCTTGTGCTGCTGCTCCTGCCGAGGGGCTGTCCCAGGCCCTCCCTGCCCTGACGCCGGCAACCACCTTCTCGCTTCCAGCACATGGATATTCCCAGGTCATCCCCGCTTGTTCTGGTGCCAACACAGCCCTTAGCTTCCACAGCTCCTCTCCTTTCCTGAGCCTCCTCACAACTGCCACAGGCTGGGGCAGACCCCAGGTCCGTCCTGCCCGTCCCGTGTCCCACAGGGGCAGAGAGCGGAGGCTGGAGGGAGAGGGACCGGGCCGAGCAGGGTTTTCCCCTGCTCCTCCCCCTGCAGCCTCCAGCACTGAGCTCCAGGCAGGGCTGACGCAGAGGCCGTGTCCCTCGCTCCCTGCCACAGAGCCACTGATGCCCCTTTCCTCCACGCACGTGTCCAAGCCCTGGCGCATGTGGCTGAGCTCTCGGCTCTCACCGCCCCTGGGGGCCATGAGTCCCCCTTCAATGCCACGCTGGGGGAAAAAGACCTTCCAGGTGGTAATTTTAAACTGCTGGCCTGCTCGCTCCATGCTGTGACCCCTGTTCCTGCATTGTAAGAGACAGTAAATAATAAATCCCTAGCGACTTTGTCTTCACCATCTCACACTCGGCACAGCCCACCCTCAGCCTTCACTTGCTGGGCAGCTGGGCCCAGCACGTCTCCTCTCCTCTCTGCAGATCAGGTCTCCATGCCCTTGGGATCGAAGCAAACCTTTCCCGCCCGTCCCCGTGCAGATGACCAAATGGTACACGTCGTTCCTCCTGCGGGGTCCCTATCCCCGTTCTACAGATGGGGGAGTGAGGCACACGGAGGTCAGGTGCCTCAAACAAGTCACAACCATGAGTGCAGGATGCACCTCCACTTCCAAGGAAGAACCGTCCCAAACCCAGAAGGGTCAGGAGGAAAGCACAGAGGCGCTCATCCCTAACAGATGTATGGCCTGTGGGTATCGTTCCGGGTGGCAATCCTCCACCCGGCTTCTCTCTGCCCAGCCTTGCTCTGTACTGGGATCCATCGTGTCCGTGGGCTTTTGTTCCCAGTGAACGATGAAGGCAGTTAAAACCCCTCCCGTTTCACACAAGTCCAGCGAGGTCCCTGGTTTCCTCTGGTGGCAAACAAAGCCTGTCAGCTGGTCACGACTTGGCCCCTCTCCCTGCACTGTGACATTCATGCACCTTCAACAGCAGCAAGCAACCTGCTCCAGAAACCCCGAGTCTTTGCAGCGCTCCTTCCAGCCAAGCATCCTCCCTCTGGACGGCTACCCAGAGCCTGGGTAGAGAGCCCCTCCACCCCGCAGACAGGCACTAGCACGACCCCTGCTTCCCAGCGTGAGCGAGCGCGTCGTAAGCCAGGGCCGGCTGAATGAGGACCCAGGACTGTGCTCTGTGTGCCGGCACGAGGAGCCCCTCCTGCCCCCTACACCCACTACCCACCCCTTCCGCAGGCTCTTTCTTGGCATCGTGGCCAGGGGGGTGCAGCGAAGCCGTCAGCCTGCAACACCCAGGGCATGAGATCGGGTCACTTCCCTCGGAGCGGCGGCAGGACACCAGGAAGCGGCTCAGCGAGAGGTTTCCTAGACAGTGGCGATGGAGGGGAGAAGACATAGGAGAGGGGTCTTCATTCCTTTCAGCTGCCCTGAACAAAGCCACCGCTGCGGCCCACTTTCAAACCTGCCTCTTCCTGAATCCCCGCGAGACTGGGTCTGCAGCAGAGCCCCTGCAGGGAAGCGAGCTCCTTCTGGCCAGGCCCTTGCCTTCTAGTGCCGGGGAAGTGCAATGTGCCCCTATGGCACCATCTCAACGTGCAACCCCAGAGCCGCTTGCGAAGACCGCTCAGGTGACAACGCCCAAAAAGCCCCTCGGAGGGTGGGTGTGGAGCCCAGGAGCTTCACGCCCACAGTCCTGGCCCGCGACAGCGAACCGGCAAGGCAGATTACAAACGGGGCAAGCAGATGCAAATGAAATCCAGGAAGCAGAGAAGCCAGGAGCTGCTTATTAACTGCTCCGCCTGCGACTTCAAAGCCTGGGCTCTGAACAGAAAGGAAGCCGGCGCCTGGTTCAAAGGAGGCTGGTGGAAGCCTGCCCCCAGCGCTGGCTCTCGGCAGGCCTGATCAGCCAGCTCGGCGCTGCCAGGACAGCCTGCACCTCCAGCACTGGAGCTGCCAGCCCACCCCTCGGGATGAAAGGAGAAGGGGGCAGGGGGTGGAGGAGCCTTTCCCAAAAGACAGGAGGAGTTTCCAGCAAGCGGCTGCTGCCTACAGCTCTTCCCAGAAGAGCTGGGCTCTCTCCAACACCCCTGCGCTGGGCAGGGACAGGCTGGATGGGATCCATCAGGGCTCTCCACCATCTCTGCATCTGCAGCACAAGGCCCCATGCTCTGACTGGTCACCACCCGCCCAGGGCAGGCCCGGCACTGCCTTCTCGGAAGGGTGCGGTACCAGGCTTTACTGGAGACTTTTATGGCAGGGAAAACAGAACGGATGCTGCTTGCTATTACCTTGCACCAAGTCTGTGAACACCCTTGCTCCCAGCTGCAGTGCAGCCCAAGCAAGCGAGACGCCAAGCGCTGAGACGTGCAGCCCCGCTCTCTTCCCTGGAGGCTTGGTACAGCTCCTTGGTGCCCTCGAATCAGCCTCTTCCCTCACCTGGGGGTCAGGCACGTGTCCAGTCCAAAGGCAAGAGCTCTCTCATCGGGCCGAGCTGCTGAGCACAGTCCACGTCTCTGCAGGCTTGCGCTCTTCAGCGGGTCAGCGACTGGGAACGATTCTGGAAGGGACGCAGGCTCCTTTCTGCTGGATGGGCCCTGGCTGGAAGGAGAACACGTCTCCAAGCCTCTTCTCAAAAAGTCTCCTATGACTAACGTTAGCAAAGCACACGTGCGCTTCCCGTCCTGCCCCTTTCTAACGCATTGCCACTAGATCACAGGATTGGGAGTGGTTGGTCTGAAACCTCCTCCAAGCTCTTTTCTATCAACCTTAGGGCTCTTTTGGGCTGCCCCTCGCTGTCGGGTCCACCAGCTTCTTCAGAGGGCTTCACGGAGTGACCGGCACTACCCTCTTGGACATACAAGCTCTGCTTGCATCGGCAGGAGCGCTGCCAGCAGATGGAGGGCAGTCATCCTTTCCTCTATTCAGCACTGGGGAGGCCACGTCTGGAGTCCTGTGTCCAGCTGTGGGCCCCCACTACAGAAAGGATGTGGACACATTGGTGAGAGACCAATGGAGGGGAACAAAAATGGTTGTGGGCTGGGGGACAGGACTGGTGAGGAGAGGCTGAGGGACCTGGGCTGATTGAGTCTGCAGAAGAGAAGATGGAGGGGGATTGAATAGCAGCCTTCACCTCCCTGCAGGGGGGCTGCAAAGAGGATGGAGCTGGGCTGGTCTCAGTGGGGGCAGATGGCAGGACAAGGAGCAATGGGCTCCAGCTGCAGCAAGGGGAGTTGAGGTTGGATATGAGGAAAACCTCTCTCACCTAGGAGGGGCAGTAAAGCACTGGGACAGGTTACCCAGAGCGGTGGTGCAATCTCCATCCCTGGAGGTTTTGAAGACCAGGGTAGACAAAGCCTTGGCTGGGATGATGTAGTTGGGGCTGGTCCTGCTTGGAGCAGGGGGCTGGACTGGATGTGACCCCCCGGGGTCCCTCCAACCCTCGTTTTCTTCAATTCTGTGCTTTGTGTTCAGATAGCGAGGGGGCTGGTTGATTCGCTTGGCACTGGTTTTATTGCAACCTGCAGGGATCCTTCATAGGCGAGGTATTAATGCGGCAACATGCGACTCTGGGGGAAGGGTTTTCAAAGCAGACGACTCTGCAGTGCTGCCCAGAGAAGGTCACGCTCGGGGCTCCCCGGCCCCTTCAGAAGGTAGTCCCAAGCCCGCGCCGCTTTGCCCAGAGCGCTTTGTGCCCAGCACCCATGCGCAATGCTGAGCGTTGCAATCTGCAAGGCTCCAGAGCAGAGCACAGCTGACATGGCAGCTCATAGCTGGGGTCCGAGCCAAAACCTGCTTTGAAGATTAGGACCAAAGCTTTAAGCTGGCATGAAAGCAGACAACGAGGCAGTGATGGGACCTGAGCACAGGCCCAAGGTGCTCTTGGCAGTCAAGACCATGGGAGAGACGGGTACGTTCTGTACCAGCTGGAGCCTGTGCCTCTCCCTGCATTCAGCTTCTGCCGCCCAGCTGGGAGGAGACCAACGCATGGATCTCTGCGCTGGCCCAGGAGAAGGGACGTTGTTTCCGAGCGAGCGACGGGCAGTGCAGGCACTGATCGCTTGCCAGTGATGCTACCAACCTGAGGGAGAATCCA